TAAGAGGTATTGTGCATACGATTTGTCTTCTGAGATCATCTTTGGTGGTCTACAGGTCTATACAATTTCACATCATCCAACAAGCCTAACTGAAACACTACCTGACATTTCTGTTAGATAATAATCTAGTCTTATTGTGTTCCCTGCCTGTTTTAGGGGATGTCTTTTTTCCTTTTTATATATTTTATTTTTATGCTAATATGCTGCCACAGTGCTTTATGTCGTAAGAAATCTGTGTCATATTTACTCAACCTGCAGAACTATTTCACCTTCTGACATGACGTTCGTGAGCGAAGACGGTGTATACTTCTGTCTCTAAAAGTTTGATGATGTTCGTTTTCCAAGGAGCTGTTATTGTTTCCATTTTATGTTTGCGATACCTTCATCCTGTTAAATTGTCTCTATGTTTTGTCTGAAAAGAAGGTCAAGTTTTCAGTACACTTTGTCATTTTGCCTGAATCAGCTGTGTAGAGCGCCAATGAACAGGACAGCCTTGGTGTTTATGATGTCACAGTTTATAAAAAGAGTGGAGGGATGGTCCGGTACTTGCAGATGTGAGGCCTTGTGATATGCAGAATGGCTTCTTAGTCAAGGTCTTGATACCGCAGACTGAATTTAAATTGCAGTGAAGTTTAAGACAAACACAAAACAGGCAATTTAATGTGGATTTATAAGATGGCTTTATTGGCCGTATACAATTTCTTGTATTAGAAATTTGTATTTTCACATACCCCAACTTGCTCTCCATGAGACACACAGACAGGGAGAGAGAAGCTAGAGGTCAGAGCACAAGGTCAGACATTCATACAGATCAGGGGCCCAACGGAGTAGGATTCCTCTGCCGGCCACGAGATACAAACCGGCAACCTTCCACCCACAGACGAGATCCTGAGCCACAGAGCCACCCCTACTCTTATGCTCTTTAAAGCTAACGAATATGTGCAGTGTTGTAGCTCTTGGTCTTAATCAGGATACCTGCATCAAGAACAAACTGGCACGACCTTTCTGGGAACCCCAGACCGGTACTGAAACTTACTCTATCTGAGTCAACTTTTGTACAAACTCCTTTTGTGCCTCTTGCAGCCCTTGAAAAAAAACAATGGAAACCTTGTTAGAGCATTTTTAACAATACAAATTGGGGAAACTATAACTCAACTAACTTGCTTTTTTCAGTTTAAAAAAAAGTATTTCACCTTTTTACTCATGTATGATATCTGGGCTCCAAGAAATTAGAAAGAAAATTATTTTCTGAATATAACAATAATGCAAAACTCATACTCTTAAGATGTTATAGATCAAATGGGTATTTTCTTTTCCATTGTAATAGAGAAATAAATCTTAATATTTTTGTCTTGTTTGGTTTGGGAGAGATAATTTGGGCATTTATTGAGGATAGATTCTTGCAGGTCAGCAGCATTCATTGTGGGAATGTTTGCTCACAGCTGTACAGAAATATTGCTTCATTTTCTAATTGTATCCTGTTGTCTCCCCTCAGTTTGTAGTGCACCAGACTTGGACAGCAAAACACATATCTCTCAAATGGGACTAGAGTTACGCCCTGTGATCTCTTACATGAAAGGGCAGGGATTAGACTCCTGCACTTTAAATACCCTTTTAAATGAACAATTGTAACAATAACAACCTCTTATCTTTAGACCTAATTGAACAAGTGTGTATGTCAGGGCACAAAATAAGAGGGGCATTGTGACAAGAACGTTTTTCATTGAAGGCTGTTTTGAGAACTAAGGGAATAAGGTCTTCATGAGCACTGATGTTGATATTGTTTGTTGTGGCGCTTATATCGTTTTCTTGTTGACTGCTGGAAGAGTTCTTTGTCTCCTGCAATCAGTGAAGTGATTTTACTCAAGCAATAAATCAAACTGACTGTCTTTGTAGTTTCTATTTTTTCCTTATTGGGTAGACCTGTGTACTTTTCTACAGTTTTGTTCGGAGGGGATTTTTTAAAATACCTTTTAACACTTCTAAAAATCACTTTACACAAAAAAATAATATTCCAATGCTTTTTTTTCTACATTTGCAACTTTAAAATAAGAATAGGAAGAATAATGTAATCATTCACATTAATTATTTTAAAAGTGCATGAATATACTGTATATATACAGTATACACAATCGAAGAGAGAGGGCTGAGCACAGTTCTTTTAAAACATTTTTAAATGACAGAATTTAAAAGGAAATCAGTTCATATCATTCATATCAGATGTTTAGAATTATGTAACACAGCTAAACTGTGTACGTTTGTTAAATAAGAACTTTAAATCGTTTGAAACATTTGTGTTGCCTGAGGCTCTGTTCTGTTGGCTAAAACAGTTTTCTGACTTTTCAGTCCAGCAAGAAATGCATTCAGCTGCTGTAATAAATGGACATTTTTCTCAGCTTGAATTTCTGCAGCTATCATGGCAACAGATACCTAGAATTCCTTGATGGGCAGTATTTCTCCTTAAACACCTTTTCATCCAATCATTATAAGAAAGACACTTTCTCCTGTTATGTGCCAAAGCAGCCCAGAGTCTTTCTTTAAACATGCTGTACAAAATTAAAAACTTGTATTTTCCAAGTCTTGAAGTATTTTCAAGGACAGTACACTAAACAAGATATAAAAAAAGGCTTTTTGAAACTCATTTGAAATATCTTTGGGTACCTACTACTTTTAATCAACTTCATGAATCATGAGGGAAAAATATGACTATAGATAATCCAGTATTTTCTCCCTGGAAATTGTGATTTAAAAAAAAAACATCTAGAATTTAAATAACATAAAATAAATTGCAAAGGAACAGGTAAAGGTTTATTCCATGCTGAAAAGAGAACAAAAGAGACACAAAGTTTTGGCTGTGGATCCTTCTTTGGGTGCGAGTCGGTGTGATTTATGATCAAATAAATTTCATACTGGTTGACTGTAATGAAGGCTGTATAGTTTTTTGTTTTTAGTTTTCTTTAGATTTTTACGGTCGTCTTTAAGAAGTAAAGCCATGACACAGGGTTATACACAGAGCTGCTGTTCTCTCAAGAGCCAGGGCCTCTTTTCCCAACCTTGACTGTGGGCTCCAGAACCACAGCTGGTCCAAACACTGGTTTATCAAGGTCAGGCAATTCTTTGAGCCGTTTGTTTTCCCTTCAAAAATAAGCTAAAAAGCAAGGTCTGCAAGTTTTTCCATGATCAATAAAAGAGAAACTTGATAACATTATTCTTGCATATGCAGGGAAAACTGCTTGGCAGTCAAGGTCACTAAGGTGTGACATCATAGGGGCGTGAAGTGGGAGGGGCTTTGTTTTCGGTAAACAATGGAGCTGAAGAAAGCTCAAGAGAGAAGACAGGAACACCACAAGAGCCCTTACATTTTCTCATTCACATTCTCTAATACTCCCTCCATTTACAAAAAATAAAATACCTGCGCATTTCATTGTATCTATGTAATTATGATGTATTTAACTGACAACTTTATGAGACAACTTAACTTATTTAATGACTTAATTCTTAATTTAAATGTGAAGTATATCTATAATTAGTACTCAACACAATAAGGAATGCCATTATTGTGAGCTATAGACACGTGAACACAATAGAAATAAACAGAAGCAGTGAGGCGGGTTCCCTGGTTCGGTGAGGAGGGGGGATCTCCTGTACAGGCTGCCTGGGGAGAACAGAGGCAGACAAGCCATCAGGCCCCGCGCTCCAACAGTCTTCTTCTGCTCCTACACAGCTGCACTGACTTCACTGGGCTTCACTTAATAATGGAACAAGTAACAGGTTTATGCCATGCTGAAAAGAGAAGAGAGAAAACACAACGTTTCGGCCGTGGAGCCTTCTCCAGGTGTGAGCTCACACCTCACAGCTCACCTCACGCTCACACCTGAAGAAGGCTCCACGGCCGAAACGTTCTGTTTTCTTTCTTCTTCTTTTTTTCAGCCTGGAATAAACCTGTTACTTGTTCCTTTGCAGCCTACGCATGCTGGCGCAGCTCCCCACCTGAACTGCTTCATTTAATAATGTTTGAGTGGGGAGCAGCATCAGTGTGCGTTGTCTGCAGAGCAGCAAGTAAAGGTTAAACCCATTCTGAAAAATAGGAAGAAGAAACATGATGCTCTAGCACTGTGTTTTTAGAGTGGAATGAACTTTTTCTTGTTTGTTTAATAATGTTACCGTTGGGAAAAGTGACTGGCTTTTGACATCCGTTAGAGTTGTTTTTAATTAAACAGAAACTGAGAACCTTTGTTGCCTGTTTCTTAGAGCTGTCTGTTCTTCATTTTAATTTCTGTAATTGTGCAACTTTGTGGATTCTAATGATCCTTCAGTATGACAAGGTAGTTCTCTAATGTTTGGTTTTAGGGCACTCCTGTGCTTATTAAACAACGTCCTCGAAAATGTAATCTTTTTTAAATGCATGGACAAAAAATCTGCATTGTCTGACCACCATCAACAATCCACACAAAACGGATTTGTGGTTATGTGATGAAGGTGTATTACTATCTGATTCTATGTCTTCTGATTGGGTTACAATCAATGTACAACTCTACGTCAATCTTATCTTTCTAATACTCTGCTGTTTCCAATTTACAGACAGTACGTATCAGCTTAACACGCATGTTAACATCAGGTTTTTGAGCTCTCAACTTTCAACAGCATGAAAACATCTACAATAGGGAAATTGAAAAAGGTGGTGTTGCGTGACCATGGCTTTGTTTAAATAAAACCATGCATTCTACACATTGCAATTATGTTTTATCAGGCTTCTATCAAACAGTCAAATCATACCTGCTCCTTTGTGCAGCTTCAGCTCCAGTGTACTGTACCAGGCTGCGCAATAGCTCTGGCCTCACTGTTTGTATGGAACTATTTACTTATGGTGGGAATATGATATTGAAGGTTTGCTAGAGTTTCTAAAAAGACATGAGTTACGAGGAAGAAAATAAACCTGTACCCTGCATTTTCCCTGATGTATTATTTTTTAATGACATCCAACTCTTTTTACTTTTGACAGCAGGAGATCAACATGGGCACACCTGCTGTTTCCAAGTGTGAAGATTTTCGGTAAGTTTCAAGAAGGTGTGTTCCGTTCAAAACAAACTGAACTGAACTGCAGATTCAAAGCACAAAAAGAATTCTCATTAATGGAGTTTGTGGAGAAAATAGTGAGAAAAATGAGGATTCATTCATATAACCATATTACATATCTCCACTGCTCAGTAGTCGATTGCCTGTGTTCTTTGCACCTCTAGACTTGCGAATGTGTTTTGAGGAGCTTGTGCACTGAACCTGACTATAGTGTCCCAGGCCCTGACACTAGCTTGTAGCTCCCCTAGTGCGAAAATGCATTGAAATTTGTATCACTCTTTGTTCTGAAGAAGGCTCTCAATGACAAAGTCAATGTCTTGGAGGATTTTGAATACCTGGATCAGATCCATTTATAGGCTTTGTTCAAGACTAAAAGTGTTCAGTTCCTTTAATCTGTCAGTGTAAAAATCTGAATAGAACCCAAGAACGTATCTGGTTGCCCTTCTCTGGACTGAATCCAGAGCAGCATTTTATGATATGGAATAGTAGTAAACATTATTTTATATAGCACCTTTAAAGGTGGCTTCTCAAAGCTCTTTACAGAACGACAACAAAAACAAAAATAAATACATAAGATATGCACGATGAGAATACATAGTTGGAGGAGACAATAAATGGTGCTCCTACAGTAAGTACAGCAGGAGCAGAGGGGAAAAGAACAGAACCAGTTAAGTAAAGGCTCTTCTAAAGAAGAAGGTTTTGAGTCTGGATTTGTAGTTTAGAGAAGTTAGAGAGAAGACTCTCTGATATCCTTGGGGAGAGAGTTCCAGAGCTTTGGGGTATAACAGGAGAAGGCCCTGTCACCCATACAACGTAGACAAGCTTGGGGAACAGTTAGGAGACCAGAATGAGAAGAGCGAAGGTTGTGTGGTGAGGAGTAGGGCGATAGCAGTTCAGACAGGTACTGAGGTGCCAAGCCATGCAGAGCCTCATAGGTGAGCATGAGGATTTTGAAGTCGACACAAAACCTGGCAGGAAGCCAGTGCAGGGACTCACTTGCACAAGACCTGGTCAGGATTCTGGCTGCCGAATTTTGAACATTCTGGAGTTTGTTCAATGTGGATTTAGAAACCCCAACGAGTAGAGCATTACAGTAGTCAATTCTGGAGAAGACAAATGTGTTGATCAACTTTTCAGCCACAGTTAGTGATAACATAGGGTGTAGTCTGGCGGTATTTCTGAGGTGAAAGAAAGATGTTTTGACAATATGCTGCACATGTGGGTCGAATGTCAAGCCTGACAAATATCACCCCCCAGTTTTTCAATTTAAACGGGAGCTCAAGTACAGTAACATCCACAGATAGGGTTACAGCAAAACCAACATTGTGCTCAGTATTATAAATGAGATTTTACTAATACATTGTGCAATTATAACATAGCATCCCTCAATTCAAATTCTAATTTTAACCATATATCCTAACATTTTGACTCCCAAAGAAGGCTTTCTTTTCTTCTCTTGTCAGTGTGGAATAAACCTTTGCATTCTGCAATTTTGTTTCTCTGTGCTTCTCCACATCAGGTGTGTCAACTTGAATACCTAAAAGCCTCCTCAAGCTCAACGTTACCCATTTTGTGTAGCACGTGCAAGAGGGCACCAGGTTCAGACAAGATTTCCCAGAAGGCTGTGGGGAAGGAGCGGCTGCCCTCAGTCACCTGACCAGATGCCAGAAGGCAATTGGTCAGGTGACAGTTTAAAAGCAGGAAGGAAGAGCTATGGTCTGCTGTCTAAAGCACAGAAGGCAGATACCCTGTGGTGAAAAATCAGGGAAGTTGCTGACTGAAGAACAAAAGACTGTGAGTTAATGATTTTTTGGTTGTTTTACTGAGACAAGACATGGATAAAACTGGAGACTGAAAATTGTTAGTTTTTCTAGCCAGTAAGCTTCCCAGTAGGGAGACACTATTCTACAATGCAGTCCACAGCTGAAATGTTCTTTATTTTTAATTTTTGTGTGGAATCAAGCTCTACTTGCTCCTTTGCAGCCTGTATGCAGATACAGCTCCCCACGCCACCTCTGTGATGCAGCTCTCCATTCTATACACACTGTATACACACACAAATATATTCACTGGAAATGATAAAGCAAAAGGTAAATGGATCTTTACCTTTAAGGCTATTTCTGGCTTTGTATTTTACAGCAGGATTTTGAAGAGTAGCTATCCAAAAGTTACATTGCAGCAGTTTAAAAACTGGTCTTCATTAAGTCCTTTTGTGCCAAATCTCTCATTCCTGCAAATACAACCACTAGTATAGGTCAATACTTAACCCCACAGCACAGCACAGCATCCTCCTGCCATAGAAAATATTGGGATGTTTGTTTCTCAGTTCACACTGACATTTCAGCATTTAATGCATGATCTCTGTTTTAAGGCAGCTTGGTGCCAGCTTAAGTGTGTGATAACATTAATTGTATTTGCTCTTTTCTGAGAAACAAAATCTTCCCAGTGATATTACTGGCCCAGCCCACATTTAATTTTTTTTAGAAAAAAATCCATGTACAAATTCATTTTTGCTAAACAGCTAGCTTTAACAGGTCATGATCAAGGCAGGAAATTTAGCATCTAAAACTGCATTAACTATCACTGAGAATTTGCAGGCATGCTGCCATTACTTTCTGGATGACGATGAACTAGCCACACAACAGCTTTCTGTGCTACAGTGTTCAGATATAAATAAGTTTAAAGAATAATGCTAGAGTTTTTTTAATTTTGTGTGCTGCACTGCCTCATTGATCTAATCGTGCATTGATTGTAGTGTATTTATAATTCCATTAGCATGCTGTATACCTAGCAGAAATGCCAAATAAACATCTTGCTTTTGGCTGAGGGTACGGCAGTCTGCAAGTAGGGACAAAGCTGACAGAATCCCAAAGAGGGTAAAGGAATCCCTTCAGAGTTCAAGGGTGTGAGGGGCGCAAGCTCTGGGCTGCTGGGGTGGTTTAGACAAGGTAGGCTTCAGAACATCGAGAGACATGGAGCTGGACAAGCGAAGGCAGTAATGGGAGCAAAGAGTCTCATAAGGGCCGATGGCAAAATCAAGCATGGAGGACCGATCGCACTGTAAGTGGTGGCGCACGGCGAATCTGAAGCCGGAGAGGGATTGTGCAGGAGATGAAGGCTACAGCACCTGCAAGCATTTCACCAGCACAGACTGAAGACTGGCCTGAAATTCAGGTCGATTGCCATGTTCTTGGCGGCAATAGAAATGTGAGCTTTCATGAGCCAAGAGTTTCCTCCCGTCACTTTGATCCAACGTAGATCACGACTGATGGTGGTGTAGCACAAGGAGAAGGCGGAACTGGTATTAACGCTGTTGTTTTTAGGGGTCAGGGAATTACGCAGAGCTGGGAGATCTATACTCATAGTATTAGTGATACTACTAATAATAATAATCATTATAATAACTTAAGCAGAAGATGGTGTCTATGGCAATGGATGAGGAGAGGCTGTCTGAGGGCATCAAACAGCAGAGAAAATGTGGAGAGGAAAAGCAATAGTTATTCTGGGGGAGCTGAGCGAGTTGGGGAGCACACAGAACAATTAGTGAGAGGCATTTAGCAAGTCCAGTAATTGTTGGTGCTTTTTAAAATGCAGCTATTTTGAGAGAATTCTCATTTGTTACTCCTTCTCTTTTTTTATATGTATAGCACATAATACCTGTCATTTTTCACACTTTCACTCAACAGAGGTGTCGGAAAGCACCAACGAGAGATGCATGTGCTCTTGCTGAATTTCATGTGTGCAGTATGAAGATGCAGTAGGTGCAAAATTTACTTAAACCCCTAAGCAGCAGGGGCTAATTCTCACCGAGTAACGGGAGATAAACAGACAGATGTTAGGGATCTTCTACTAGCTCTGCCTCAGGAGGAGGGGAGGGCAACAGCAGTCTTTGAGTGCAGGTTTTATTTGCCATATCTCCATGTACAGTGGGATTCTTACTCGTGCTGATCTCTCAGGATGTGCACAGTACAGCAGGCAATACCACACAATGTGGGCAGTAGATTACAAAACTGTAAATAATAAGTAGTGACAGTATGTACAGACAAACAACCAGAACAATAAATATGGTAACCAAGTCATAAGTGCAGAGCGCAGAGGCGAGTTGAATTCGGAGACACTGCAACGTTCGCTGTTGAGGATGTGCACTGCAGTGGGGTAGAAGCTGTTCTTGAGTCTAGTGGTCTGCGCTTTAACAGTGCGGTACCACTTGCCAGAGTGCAGGGGGAGAACTGTTTGTGGCCGGGATGGCTGGGATCCTGAATGATGGCTTTATTGAAGCAGCAGATGGCATGAATCTCAACTACTGACAGTAAGTCAGTTGGGAAGAAACCAGAGCCCCCAGAGGAAACCCATGTGAACTCTGGGAGAACATGCAAACTCCACACAGATAGCCACTGCTATCCACCATCCTGCCACATCTTTGGAATATGAATACAAATGATTTAATCATTAATAATAATGCTATTTTCGAGAAACTCAAAGTTTGTTTTGTACAGCACTTGATTTATTCAGCATAATTAATAGTTCAGGTGGGGAGCTGCACCAGCATGCGTAGGCTGCAAAGGAACAAGTAATACGTTTTTTCCAACTGTCCTATCCTTCTTACACCTAACGAAGGCTCCACAGCCGAAACATTGTTTTCTTTCTTCTCTCTCCAGCAGGGAATAAACCTATTACTTGTTCCTTAATTAATAGTAGCTTCTAACATTTTTAGAAGGGAAAAAAAACAGTTAATAAAAATAGGAGATGAACAAAAGGGATAGGAATAAGTAAAGAAAAGCATGGCAAACTGACCTAGAAACACCAAGTGTAAAAGGAAATTCTACATCACAAGTTACAGTGAGGCCTTTAAGCAAGACTTCAGAATGTTGACGGTCATAGAGATTCTAGAGGATTTGGGCACAAATGATGCTGCACGTGAGACAACTGTATCACCCCCTGTGTGGAGCCTGATCTGGGTAGAGTAGTTCCCAGATTAAGAGCTGGACTGTACTCGTGCAATAAGACCTTAAGATAACTTGGAGGAGAGCGTTCAGTGCCTTGGTCATGAGCACAAAAAAAAAACAACCTAAAATCCAGTCTAAATTCTACTTGGGTGGGAGTCTGTTAACATTAATGGGAATAATTAAAAATATTTTCCCCTCCTTCAATACCAATATTAATAAATGATTAAAGATCATTTGAGCATGAACCCTGTGGCTCCCTTTGTCACAGCTGTCGGTAGACTGATGTCATTAAAAACTAGGGATGGCCCCTTTGGGGATTTTCACTTCTTTCCAACAAGTGAATCGGGTTCGAGCTTCTAGCCCTGGATGAAATCCCAGGTTTCTGCTTCTCCACAGGGAAGTGGAATAAGTGATTGTCAGCCCAGACTCCTCTCCTCCCCCAGACACACAACTGCTCGCTCCTGTTTTGATAGCCTTAGCTATATACTGGGGGTGCCAGGGCCAGTCTGCCTGGTACCAGTGTCAATGTTTATGGAAAACAGGAACATGCTGCACACAGTGACGAATGAATGCTCTGATAAAATGGCACTGTGATCTAGAACTAAACGGGTTTGTTTTTTAAAGAAAAGTCTTTCTTAAAAGAAAATAACGTTGCGGACAAAATCTGCATTCCAGTCTCTTTATCTTGGAATGGATTGTTTTGGTTCAGGTTTGCAAATGGCCCGGCCCATTTAATCGCGATATCAATCAAATCATTTGGAGCAAATGTTTTTAAGGCCTTCCTGAATGAAGAGGTGGGACAGGATTGACTTTTTTTCCCCATTTGGATCCAACACAGGCGAGCTGTCGGCTCGCAGTGAGATATGTGGGCAAGTGGGGGAGAGCAGTTTTGTTTTCTGAGCAAAGCAGGAAAGGATGGGAGACCTTATGCTTGAAACTCGCACAACCCCAGCATGATATTAAAGCTTAAAATATCACAGCATGAGTAGGATTCTTTCCACTGTGTCTGCGAGGGGGTGTATCTGTGATTTATGCATGCAAAGAATCTGCATAAACCTAAAAGCATTATATTTGTCTGTTGTGCTCTTCAGATTGTAAGACTTTGGATGTTACTGGACTTGAAAGACCCCACCATAGCCCGCTCCACATTTTGAACTAGCGCACAGTGGGAAGGTACTGAAAAACCTGGTTAATGGTTAATGGTTTTGGCACAGAACTAACAGAATTGAATAAGATTTGCACAGAGATAAATTGTCCTACATTTTTAAACGGTCAAAATGAGTTGTGCCATAATTTTTCTACCTACTTTGTCTTTATTGTGGACGACAGCTGCCTTTCACTGTTCCTGAGTTCTGAGTTTAGGATATAAGAACACAAGAAATGGAACAAATAAGAGGACCCATCTTGCGTGGTTGGTTGCCAGTAGCTTATTGATCAGGACAACATAGTATAACGAGTCTCACAAGGGAAGCAGGAAGCCTGTATAACACTCATTCACAAGAGTAGAGTAGAGTAGAGGAGTTTAGTGCCATATGTACATGTATGTTGGAATTCATATCGACGCTGATCTCTCTGGACATGCACAGTACAGCAGACAACGCCACACAATGTAGACAGTACATTACAAACATACTAAGTAATAACAAAAGGAAAAATAAGTATGTTGTGGAACACGCTCTGTGTGAGAACATGTACAGCACAAAAACCGTACAAGAGCATATAGCTATGAGAAGATTCGTAAGATGAAGAGACATGTGCTCATCAAACAACAGTGTGTGTACTGGATGGACAGAATGATCAATCAATAAATCAATTCAATCAAGCTTGGCTGGCAGCCTTTTGGTCATTGATGTTTGCCTTTTCCCCCATAGTACCAGATAGTGGTGAGTACATGCCGTTTCAAGACTGCAGTACTCTGAGAAATGGGGGAAAAGCATATTTATGTGAATCACTGCAAGGAGCAAACCTTCTAGGTTTTGTAAGGTCTTGTATGCAACTTCAAAGTCTCGAGTAATGTTTTTGTTCACCTGAAATGCCACCTCAAACTGCAAACAGTGTTTTATTGCATAACTGCTGTTTTTATACCTTTTAAATTTTTAGGTATCTATTCAACAAAATAATTTTTAGGCTTTGAGTTTAAAAGCTCTGCCAGACAGAGTGCAAACCGCTTGCCACTTGATATTTTGTTTTGTTATTTTTACCAATAACATACAGGTATCTCTAGAACGTTGTGAAAATAATTTAATCACACTGGATATGGTCTTAAAATATGACTTTAAGGCATTTCTAAAAGTTAAGAAATTTTAATGGCAGAGAACTTTCTAAGACTGCCTTCATTAGCATTTTCAACCACTCCTAGAGTTTGCAAAGGAACAAGTAATAGGTTTATTCCATGCTGAAAAAAAAAAAAAAAAAACCAAAGGTTCCGCCAAGGGGGGGCAAAACCGAAAAAAGCCCCAACAACCAAAAAATGGTTTCCCCCCTCCTCTTTTCAGCAGGAATAAACCTATTACTTGTTCCTTTGCAGCCTACGCATGCTGACGCAGCTACCCACCTGAACAACTACACTCTTAGTTTGACTCTTTGGGGGTTAAGCTTCATAAACTATTAACCTTACCAGCACCTGTTGGAAAAAGCATGGCCAATTGTTTGCAAATGTTTACAAGAAAAACAAACCCAGCTTTTCATTCACTTCTTTAACACTTCAAAGGACTGTCACCTGGGAACAATGGGGTGAGATGTTACAACAGTAGCCGGTGTGTCTGTTTGCTGTTACTCAGTAAAGCGTAACAACACAGGTATTTGAGGGATCTAATCCCTTTAGTTGCTTCAGCTCAGCAGGATTGTGCTGACTGAGAAGATGTTTTAACATGGGACCATATCTGACCTTTTGTAAATTGGAATCGTTCTGTGAGTTTTGACAATCCTGTGCAAACGCTAAGGAAGACATACTTAATATATGTGCTGTACATTTTCTCCCACAGAGAAAAAACACATTACATATTCTGTTTAACCAACTGTACTATAGAGACATCTTTTACTGTTCTTTTGAAAAGACTGAATCCTAAACCTCAACCTAACCATCCCCTTACAGCAAACTTAGTGTGTTCTATTAGCTTCTGCATGGACGACAAAACCATGTTTAACATCACAGAATTTAACTTCATCATGATCTTCTCACATCTCCACCCTGCAGCAGTTGGAAGTTACGTCTGGTCAATGTGGAACTAACTCAACCTACAAGTGACATCTTGGCACAACTACATTGTCTTCTATAACATCTACACATGGTAGTGCTGAACAATCGCCAGTGTGCTCTTCTGCGGTCAACCTACTGGTACTTCAGTGAGATAAGCAGGTGGGGGAGCCCGCAGCAGCTCACATCTGGCAGCCCACTGAAGCTCAGCAGGTGTGAGCCTGGCCAGTACCTGGATGGGAGACCTCCTGGGAAAGCTGAGGCTGCTGCTGGAAGAGGTGTCAGTGGGGCCAGTAGGGGGCGCTCACCCTGCGGTCTGTGTGGGTCCTAATGCCCCAGTATAGTGAGGGGGACACTATGCTGTAAAAAATGCACCACCCTTCAGATGAGATGTAAAACTGTGGTCTTGACTCTCTGTGATCATTAAAAAAAAATCACAGGGTGTTTCTCGAAAAGAGTAGGGATGTTACCCTGGTGTCTTTGCCAAATTTCCCCATGGCCTTTTAGCAATCATGGCCTCCTTATAATCCCCATCAATTAACTGGCTTCATCACTCTGCTGTCCTCCCCACTGATAGCTGTGTGGTGAGTGTACTGGCCCACTATGGTTGCCGTTGCATCATCACATTGGTGGCAGTAGTCGGATTCCCCATTACCTGTAAAACGTTTTGAGTGGAGTGTCTAGAAAAGTACTATAGAGGTGTAATGAATTATGCCACATGGTTTCTAGAGGGTTGCACAGGGTTTTACATCTCTCAGCCCCATGTATTCTAGGAGCTCAGGGGATTGTTGAGATTGTACTGTCTATCCTGCACAATCATCAACACTTAAAGAAGGAACGAAAGGGTGAACATGCTTCTTGAAATCTGTTTTTTTTTAGGTCCTTTGGCACAGAGTTCCTCATTCAATCCCCTTTTTACAGATTCTGGTTTGTCACCCTTGCTCACGCGTTACTCTCTGGAGCAGCATGTCTGAAACTCTCTTGCTGTTAAGTTTGGAAATGCTCATAAAGTTTACTGTATTAGACCTTTACATTTCCTTTTCACGAGTTCAGTTTGCTAAACATCCGCGTGCATGTTCTATCTGTGGTTTTTAGCTTTAGAAGGTTGAGCAGGGATTTTTTGGCATGTAATTCGGTCACAGAGCTCTTCGCCTCCACAATCAGACATTATTTGGTCTCCAAGTACTGGGTTCTTTGTCAGACATTGTTCCTCCTATATGTGGTTCGGACAGGAGCCATTACTGGGCTTTTCTGTCACCTTTGGCTTCATGGACAACACTGATTAATTATTTCCTGGTCTTGGGGGAGTCAGCAGGTTTGCTTTCCAACTGAGCTGTCAGTCACCAGTGCCAATTCAATTGATCAGCTTGTTATTTAGACTTGTGGTTTAAATGTCGCTGTATTTACTTCTTGATTTAAAAATACTTCAAGAGTTGTTCCAAGAGCTCCAGCCTACAGAACTTTATGCAGTCTCTCCTGAACTTTTCAAAAGCGTTTGCTCCCTTGCTTTTGTCTAAACGGCTCTTAACAACCTATCGTGAACAGATAAAAGGAGATATTTGATGAGAATAATAAGGTTTGACACAATGTACCAATCGAAACCCCAAGTGAGTGTTGGCTTTTTTTTCTGCCAAGGCCCAGTTGGTTACATTCCAGCTGACCTACTGAATCAGGGCAGGTCTGAATCTCAGCAGCCGGTAGGGGGTTCAAACCAACTACCATTCCCACTCTTCTTTTTAAGAGCTTAAGTCAAATTTAAACATTTTGTCTCAAACAGAACAATGAAAGGAAGTAGCTTGCGATTCAGAATTCAGCTGGAACAAATCAAGAAGACTGAAGGATGCAAGTTTGAAACCCATGGCCTGCAGCTGTGAATGACATCAAGGTGTGAGATTCAGAAGGCATTTTCCTACATATTGCATTTTTTCCATTCTTAGATGTATTGAGATTTAGAAAAGTTCCATGTGGTTTCGTGATGACTACTGACTGCACATTTACAGGGTATGTGATGCTTGTGCAAAATTCAGAATATTGATTATTTATTCAAATTAACAAGGGATTGGTAGATAATGATGATTTTTAAAAATCAGTTGAAGTTATGTGTGCAATGTTACTATGTAGAGTAATACATTACCTCTTAAAAGCAACTTCTTATCGACTGGAAGAAGTACTGTAATCCCTTACAGAGGTAACTTGGAACTGTAATCGATGACCTTCTAAAAGCCCCTTTGGCCAAAATGGTGTTTAGGTCATTTTTGATCTTTTTCTATGGAGTGAAGCACTTGACGAAATTGAAAAACAAAATGAATTTGATTGATTTAGACACTGTACTATTTTGCCAAAGAGTAAGAGCTTCCACCACAAAAAAAGAAAGAAAAACAACGTATTTTTCTAGCTTTGTAACTTCTTAAATTCACAATAAACTAGGCATAAAAAGGTCTTCTGGAACATTTGTCGTACAACGTTTTTGATGCTTTTATCAAACGGGAGCACGGTGCCCCATGATTCTTAGTGTATTCTGAGTCTCTGCGACTTTTTTCTATCCCCTGCGCTCCTTTCAAAACATGTTCCCAAGGTCAGACGCCACCTCTCCGTTTTAACGGTGTCCTTGTAATCCCACACTGAGGCAGAACCGCTCCTATCAGCCACCTGCAGGCCCGGCCAGTCTCCTGCTCCCTGCTTGCACTCTCCCTGGGTAAATACAGCAGGAGTGTTCAAGCCCAGGTCAACCTGACCCTCCTGTGACCTGCTGCCCGGTGCTGCTCCGCAGTCACTCTCGCCAGCAGGCTTATTAATCTCCCCTCTCCAGGGATCCCAGAGTGTAGGGACTCCTCTTTCATGGCAAAGCGATACCAAGTCCTGTCTCTTGGGTTTTTACTCTCTGGAGGACTTGCTGCCAATAAACAGATTGTTTACGTACTACTGGGTCAAGCTGAATGAAAGCATTTCTTTATTCCGATTCCAAACTCTTCCAAATGGAAGTCAGTTGTATTTACATTGCTGGAGACTCCGTCACTCATAAAACAGTTTAGCCATTGTACTATTTTGCAAAAGTAATAAAGAACTCGGAAGAAAAAATAAGAATACCATCTCATTCTCTTGAACCCAAAAAAATATTTTTAAAACTCAGTAATTCACCACTGACAAAAGGAGAACCTAGTGGTGTAAATGTAGCAGTTATGGAATAAAAACATTTGTTTTCCACACATTGTGAGTCAGTTAATTGATGGAGTGGTTATTGCTAGGTACAGTACTTTCTGTCCAATAGATAAGAAGGCGGAGTGAGGAAGAAAAGGCACCAACTAACCTTGCTGAAATCCTGCTGCAGTACTTTCTTTTTTATTCCAGCAGGCCAGTCAATTGGCAGCAAACGTGTGATTCAATTGTTGAAACGGAGACACAGTTCTACAGCTGGGCCTTTATTGCAGCACCTCCCCACTGAGAGCTGGTGTGTGGTGAGTGTTCTGGCGCACTATGGCTGGGGCTGCACATTGGTGGTGGTGGAGGGGAGTCCCCATTACCTGTAAAGCGCTTTGAGTGGAGTGTCCAGAAAAGCGCTATATAAGTGTAAGCAATTATTATTATTATTATTATTTTATTATTACTACTACTATGAAAGAGGAGCTCCAGGACACAACATCAGGATGTGAGCCAACAGCCCTTCCATCTAAAGCTGCACTCTTACACTCCTGTCCAACAGCCTTCTGAAACCAAGTCACCTCTAGCTGCTCAATCACCCTATACCTCCGCAGGCCCTGCTGAGGAGGAGGTAGACGAAGCAAGGCCGAGACCACCCAGAGAGAGCTCAGCCTGGCTATGGGCCAGGGCATACAGGGGATGGTCAGGGTACAGAGCAGAGATGTTTGACACGGGGGACACATCTCTCCTTCAGCTTCCCCTTGTGATTCTATGCGATTAGCATGGTGCATTTGGATGCAGTTGGTTTATAGGAGATGGCAATAACCTCCTTTCTGCATGTTAAATTAAAGAGCTGTCAGATGAACAACAGTATCGCATGAATGCAATTATGTAAGTAAGTATGGTCTACGCACCTCCTTTAGAAGTAAGAAAATCAATTCCATGTGTCCAAAGACACAGTATAAGGTTTTTTTTTACAATCCATTTTTATCCTGGTTTCAGAGGCTTATGTAGGGCAGTGACAATCAGAAACTAGGTAAAAATGATACAAAGATAAAACATTTGGTTCTTAGAATGTACAGTATAAGCCACCCACTTTTGCAATCACTGGGAGGTTTTCCTTCACATTTAGCTAAATTTTGGCAATGAATTCGAAGTATCCCGATGACAAAAATGTGGAACTTTTATACGAATGAATGTCCCAATACAATCCTGACAAGCAAAAGGTGTCTCGGGACCTCAAAATCCGTCGACATGTGGACTTAAAATGTCCAGGGTTTGTATTTAATGGAGAATCTTCAGCCACAAATCGGCCATTGCCTCCACCTTCTGAACTCCGGCGGCATGTCGTTAACCGTGTGTTAAGGTGAGGGTGACGTGTCCCACAATCTCTGGGTCTAATGGGGTGTGACCTGCAGAGCTCCGGACACTGAGGAGGTCTGTCCCCCTGCTCCAGCACGCCATATTCCGACTCGCTCTGGGTGTCCAGGGATCTCAGGCCTGACTGAAAGCAGCAAACCTGGGATTCACAAACAATTAGCAGCTCCAGCCTTAAACAAACTTCATTCCAGATAGAGAGGAGTGACCTCCCATGGTGTTACCGGCTCTATTCATCACTGCCACCTTTTCAAAGAGACAGAGATATGGCAGCTCGAGATCATTAACCAGGAATGGCTGCTTTGCATTAATGACCCAACGAAACACTAGGTGAGGCTAAGCAGGTTTATAAGGCAGACATTCTTCTGCAAGCAGAACCCCTTCCCTCAGGAGTCTCACGTCATTCGTCATGGTATGAACAGGCAGCCCGAGTGTAATAATTGGAAAAGAATTCTGAGACGACTGAGGCTGAAATGCTGACAGTGCATACACAGAGGGAATTCGCTTTCTGATGCGTGACATTCTGCCATCCAGTACCACAGACAAGACAAAGCAGAGTTTTAGAAATGAGTGCCTTGGTCTGAAATGAGCACTAGGCGATGGGCGAAATGGGTATAATTTATACACCAGTTACTTGGTTTTGGTCATGTGTATTATCTCTGTATAGATAAGCTCGTGGAAAGATTTCTTGGCAGTGAGACCGAGGTGGATATTTTGGTCATGCAGTTGCCTTCTTCAGTTGTCATTTTAGGCTGGTGTTCCATTGATTTGATTCCCCCACAACACTTCCTGGTGTTTTACTTCACGTGCAGGGCTCCTGTTTGAATAAGAAGTTTGCCTTGTAAGTGCTGCAATAATTTGTTCAGAAATAACAGCTGCTACACTGCAGTGGGGTAGCCAGGGCTTTAGATTTATAACTGAAGATAATTGGTTCAAATTCTACATGGAGCCATGCTGTAGTATCTTTGAGGAAGCAGTATCCTTCTACATTCTGAGTGCTCCAGGAAAACAGCCCTCTGTATAAAGGGGTTTGGGTGGCCCAGTGGTTTACATTGCTGGGGCTCTGTGTTCAATTCCAGCACAGGTGCCGTTTGTGTGAACTCCCTGCATTTGTGTTTTTTTCTGGGTGCTCTGGTTTCCTCCTACAGTTCAAAAGACATGGCGGTGGGTTGTAAAGGAACAGGTAGTGGTTTATTCTATGCTAAAAAGAAAAGAGATGCACTGTTTCGGCTGTGGAGCTTTCTTCAGGTGAAAGAGGCACACCTGAAGGCTTCTCAGCCAAAACATTCTCTTTTCTTTTCCTTTCGGCATGGAATAAGCCTTTACTTGTTTCTTTGCAGTCTACTCATGCTGACGCAGCCACCTACTTGATAATGGTGGGTTAATTGGCCCTGGTGTGATGGACTGGTGTCCCGTCCGGGGTGTATCCTGCCTTGTGCCTGTTGCTTGCTGGGATAGACTCTGGCTCCTCTACAAGCCCATACCTGATAAAGCTGTTAGATGGGCGTGTAAGTGGATGCATATTCATGTTGCTTTAGCAACCAAAGAAATTTGTAATAACTGCTAAATCATACATCGAATCAGGGCAGAGAGAACTGAAGTGAGCAAGAGGAAAATGCAGACAGTACAAACAACTCCTTCAGGTATTTCTTGCTGTTATTTCCGATGGGGAAAGATGTAGAAGATGAAGCACATTTTTTTTTCAAAACATCCAGCACCGAAAAAGACTTTTCTTCACTCAAGATCCATAGCTTTCCTGACTCGATAATGCTGTATTGTAGGAAGCAATGCCCTGTAGGCCCTTTGAGGAACCTTTTCACTGTTTGTGCTCCTCTGCGCACCTGCCTACCCCAGTGTGTTATCAGCAGCTCCGCGGCCTTTGCCCTCAGAGCAGGCTGAGGCTCTGCAGCTCGCTGGCCCTGCTCAGGCCCCCGAGCTGCTAGGCTCTGGGCAGCAGGCCTGAGCCCCTTTCTTACATGCTAACAGGGCCCCCAGCAGCCCCACCAAGCGCAGAGTTCTCTCGTCAACTCTCACTTACACTGCTACAATTTAATCAGAAGTGATATAACACCGTGAAAGGTGCCTTTGTTTTGATGTACTTAAGTGTTTTATACATGAGACTAACAATCCTAGTGCATGTTATGAGAACATGTATTTTGCAAAAAAAAAAAAAGATCCGATCGCTGTCGTTTCACCTCTGTCTCTCCTGCACACTTCTGAATTTCATCTTTCCGTTTTCTACGAGCTCTCTCTTTTCTTGTGCCTTGAGATCCTGTGAAGAACTTTTTTCTTTCAATGTTTTAATCATGCTTCTGTGTCCAGCCAACTGCCTTTAAACATCTTCTTTAGTCCATTAATACCACAAATTAATGTCCATTCCTTTTTATTAGTGCTGGCCTGTTATTCCAACTATACACCTGGACAGGTTGCTTTTCATTGTTTAAAAGTTTCTGAATGGTTCTTGCATTCAGATTCCTGGGTTCATTAGCTACACTGCTGAATAATGAGTGAGTTCACTTTACACGCCCCCATAAATCATGCAATGTTAGAGATTAGTACAGTAGCCTATACAATGTAGCAGCCAATACGTCAGGATACTAATTTATGCACGCTTAGGTAGTAGGTTTTTCATACTGTTAATAAAAGTACGCAGCATAGAATCAGAATATCTGATGCAAACTCAATTTGCAAGTAAAAGCACCATTTGCTTTTCAGAAGGGTGCCCATTCCTGCACTGAATGTTTTTTCATTGAGCCTTGCTCCTTAATGCCACCCTGTGTTCACAGAATGAGTTTCAGAGGCATCATCAGATGAGTCGCCAGAACCTAGATGAGTTGAAACAGACATCCGATCCTCCTCTTTTCTCCTGTTTCCCTGGATACTGTTGAATGAAACCTCGCTGTGCTCGGCAAGCTCAGTGAATTCAGCTTGTACTGAGCAGCTGCAGTGCCTGGAACCACAGGTCCTGTGCTTCTGGTGTTAATGAGTTAACGAAACCTTATTTTTAGATAACTGGTCAAATGGTCCATTTTGAAGAGGTGTGAATCGGTGGCTAACTGAAAGATCTGTGCATTAGCCTGCAGGATCAGAACTGCCCTGAGCCCTGAAATTTTTTGCTATAGCCACAAGAGAAAGTGTTGGTTACTTTGTGATACAGTTCACCATAATCGCCCACTACAGCTAAATAATTCCGGACCACATTCAGTACTTTCACACTTACACTTTGGCGTATAAGCCAAAGGCTAAGGCTGGTACAACATTCTTCTCTTCTAACATTCCGAGGTCCCAGCAGTGGAAAAAGAAACAAAGGAGCGAAGGGAAAAAAAGCAGAGCATCTGGGCTGAGCTCCACACTGTGGATTCTGACCTTGAAAAGAATGAATTTGAGTGTTGCCATATCATCTGGAAAAAAAACGTCAAAGAGTTTCTTTAAAAAAAAAGAGAAAAAAGAAAAATCAATATTCCAGAGTCCATTATTAGCCTGCCTTTTGTGCCTTTTATCAAGCCCATGTGAAACAAACAATTGACCCCAGGAAAAGTTAATATCTAACTTCTTTATCGCATTTTTACAGCCAAGGGGTTGTACCCTAATCAATATATGATCCACAAATATTTCAGTGCTCAGTGTTCTGGCCAGAGAGCAACTGCAGGAGCATGACATTCTCCCTGCATTTCTGTGGGTATGAGCCATACTTTTTTGAAAAGTCCTTGGCATATTCCAAAAAGAGAGGCTGGAAATTTACTGTCCAGCAGAAATTCCATTTGGAGTTTCAGGGAGGAATGATATTCTGCAATAGTTAAACATGTTATGTAAATGCTGGGTTCAGTTTTAAACAAATTTCAAGAACCACAGACCACGTTCCGTTAAGAATTGTATTTTAAGATACCTGAATGTTAATGGTTACTAAATATGCCAATATAATCAAGTGAACACTTAACAGAAAGACATTTTTCATTTCTGTCACTGGCGTTATTTTA